GAATTCGCTACAAACAGCTGTACGTTTTGAAGTTCTATCATTTAATATCAATCTAAAAATAATCATAAATTTTGCAACAGATATATATAAAACAGTTTATAGTCAATTATGCGTTAGTAACAATAAAGCCCCCCAGTGGCACAGCGGTATGTCTGCGGACTTACAACGCTAGAATCCGGGTTTCGATACCCGTGGTGGGCAGGGCACAGATAGCCCATTGTGTAGCTTTGTGCTTCATTAGAAATAAACAATTTGGGGAGGGGCACTGTGATGAGAGAAAAGGTGTACGTATTGAGACGTTTTCCTTTTTTTCATCACTGAAAACTAAAGAGATAGATATTTTGAATAAAATTTTGTGAGAAGAAACCTTTAAGTTTACTAAAATCGCTGCAAATCCTTATAGAAAAAACTAATATCAAACACTTCTCTCCCTTAAATTAGAATATGTACAGGCATAATTGTTTCTAATGTAAACATGAGACTATACATCTTGATTCACTTAATCGTGAATTACCATAATAAACAAATCTCATCTAGGTATGTAGTCTCAGTGTAAAAATAGTCCGTTGGTGCTATGTTCTTTGTAATTATAAGCGATTGCCTAAGATTTGCAACAGTTGACGAAACAGTAACGTTCGTCCTAATCGTTCAAGATCTCTACATAAGATACTGAAGAGTTCTCTCTCTCTGTGCAATACAATTACAGATCCACAATATTTTTATTAAAAGCATTCTTCGAAACATTACTTTTATTCATAGGAGGCGGAATGTATTTGAATGATTGGGGTACCTTATTTGGTATGTGAACTGTGACCACTGAATTCATAACTCAAACAGCGACTTTTAATTATAGTTATACGATAGTCTCTATTCCCCATTCAAAGGGGTCGTTTCGCTACCGGGTCAAAATGGGGGGACACGTGCCCCCCCCCATTATATAGATTATAATAATCTTTCTGAGGGTACTTAAATGTACATTATTTAAAGTAGAATGTTATTATTCTGAAACTTCATGCAATATGTAAATTATATGACTACTTACGTCATAAGCTAACGTTGTTGCATGTTGAGTGTAGAATATATTATACATCACGTGACTTTTTTCTCTATTGACGTAAGCATGTACACCTTAAATAACTACGTTGTGCGAAAGTATTTGTTTGTTTTGGAATTTCGCGCAAAGCTACACGAGGGCTATCTGTGCTAGCCGTCCCTAATTTAGCAGTATAAGACTAGAGGGAAGGCAGCTAGTCATCACCACCCACCGTCAACTCTTGGGCCACTCTTTTACCAACGAATAGTGGGATTGATTGTCACATTATAACACCCCCACGGCTGAAAGGGCGAGCATGTTTGGTGTGACGAGGTTTCGAACTCGCGACCCGCAGATTGCGAGTAGAGCGCTTTAACCACCTGTCCATGCCGGTCCGTGCGAAAGTGACGAAAAAATATATATTTTAAAAAAGTGCTTTTGACACTGATGTTTCTGGAATTTTAATAAAACTTAATTAGAAAACGCGCATAGTTTACAACCATTCAAATCCAAAAAAAAACCTAACCAGGTGGTCTAGTCTTTTAGCGTACTGTACGGTGAATCCGAGTGTCCAGGGTTCGCGTCCCGTAAAGTTGCGCTTTGCACTTCGAGACCGTTGACACATTATAAGAGTGGCAGGCAATTCGTACTATTCGATTACAGTAGTCCTAGAATTGGAGGTTGATGCTGTTGACTAGCTGCCTTCCCTCTAGTTATCTATTCTAAATGAATAACCGATAGCGCAGATAGCCCTTGTGTAGCATTGCATGAACATCCGAAACAAAAAAATAAATAAAACAAGAATTCTAGTTGATTTGTTTGTTCTGTTCGTAGTTAAGCAAAAAACTACACAATGGATTATCTGTGCTCTGCCCACCACGGGTATCGAAACCCGCTTTTTAGCGTTGTAAGTCCGCAGACATACCGCTGGGCTACTGGGGGCATCTAGTTGATAAGCTCTAATTGATTTCTTTTATGTGCTTTATGTCAGGGTCATTTCAGGTGAGGGGGGGGTATTTTTTACATGCAATACGGCCTTCACAAAATCATATAACTACCACCCAGGGGTCTCTGGTCTCAACTTTGGGAACCTTTCGGGCGTAAGCAATATATTATAGAAAGATTATTCCAAATGCTAGGTCTGTCTTTTGGGATATTGGTACGAAAAAGAATAGACATATCATATGGGCTGTTTAAGGTCAAAGTTAAAAACATGTGTCAATTTTCATATATGAATATGACCAGGTATTAGCGCCAACTTTTCCAAATAATGGGGAATATTGAGTATGTTTTTTGCACAGCTTCAGGGTGCTCAGCAGCACTCTCATCAATAGATTTTGAGAGTGTTCATGCACCAATGGAGCTGATGCTTATGGTGCTTTACTCTTAATCTACTTGTCATCGTTGCCAAAAAAAATGTCCACTTTAAATTGTGCTGTTACTTATTATCTATTTTTTATAATATCAAGAAGCTTGCTGTGGCATTTCATCTTCTTCAACATATAATGACAATTTTACATTCAAAATACTTGCCCTTTTTGCAGATGCTTTGGGCGTTATTAGTACAATTCTACAATGTGGCAAGTTTTAAGTGTAAATTGTTATGATTTTAAAAAGTAGATGGCAAGTATCAGCAGGTGTTGGAAGCAGTGTTGACAGTGTAAGATTGTTAGTATTGTTCAAAGTAGACTACAAGCGCTTCCTTGTAGTCTACTTTGAACAATACTAACAATCTTACACTGTTAACACTTGCTGTTCTTTGCCATCTACTTTGAACAATGTTTACAATCTTTGCTTTAAACACCTGCTGTTGCTTGGCATCTATTTTTAACAATGTTATCTTATAAACGATTTCTATATTACTATGTTCATTCTATTTGTGGTGGTAAAACTTGAACAGCGTTGTACTGTTGGTGTTTATTTATCACAAAACCTGGAAACAACTGTAACGTTAACGTTTACTGCTGCTTTCTGCATAGTTTCAGCAAATTTGCTTTACATTTTTGAGAACAGCCTATTGTTTCACAAAACAACGGATTCCGAACAGCACAGTTGATACTATCAACTAGAACTAAGTCCCAACGAATGGTAGGACACGATTCTTTGCCTATCTTCACCCGACTGCTGTTCTCTGCCTTTCCCCGCTCTCTACTTCTATAAAAGGCAGGCTTGGGCGGTCCAATAGAAACCTGAGCTGCTCAGTAAAGAACCTTTGAATTTAAAGGATGGGTTTGCATCAGGGTTTTTACTCTAGCTCGACTGGTGTTGCTGGCTCGGAAAGCTCGAGCTTTTACAGGTTTTCCTCAGCTTGTGTCCGAGCATCAGCAAACTTCTCAGGTTATACGTTTCTCTTGTTAAAGAAATTTACGTGATCAGTCCAGGATGTCGTTCACAAAGACAACTCGAAATATCTACAGATCCAGCAGTGGCCATGGTGATTTCTCCATTGAACATGGTCTTGACATGGGTGCCTTGACCCGCCTCGAGGTAGGCTTACCCGTTGGACATTAATGTCCTGCAGTAAATACCATTTATATTAATTTTGGCACTATATTATTATTAGCAGTCAGCAACATAACACTTAGTTTTGAGGCCAGGGTAAACTAAGGTAAATTTACCAGAATTCTAAAAAAAAGCATTAGAAGTACAAAATTTATTTTATTTTTCTTTTGTGACAAAATGAAAGAAACTTGCTTAAAATTCATTCCCAAACTTAAAATATCTGTTAACATCTAATTAAAACTAAAATAATAATAATAAACATTTCTGATAGTTCAATGTTTTTTATGAATCCTTACTATTAACTGAATATTCGTCTTTGTTTATTTCCTATAAACAGGTGTAAATAAATAATGCACGCGTGTTTTTCAAAGTTTCCGTTATGAATTGAATTCACAAGTTCTTCCCACTTTAGTCAACAAATCCCTAACTTAAACAATGTGAAAAATTATATAATTTATTCATATATTTTAATGAGACTATAAATTCAACAACATGCTCTTTCTCTATGGCACGATAGGTCAGCAGTAAGTTTACAGAATTACAACGTTAAAATCCAGGGCTCAATCCCCCTCGTGGACAGAGTGCGGATAGCCCATTGTGTAGCTTTGCGCTGCGAACAACAAGAAAAACAGATCGTCACAAGACCTATAGATGGCGCTGCACATAAGTGTAACTAATATCATTCAAGGTTGTTGTTGATTAAATAGATTTTCCTTTTATGTTTCATCAGGCGACTGTTCTATTTTTCGCTGCTGTATGGACACAAAAAAAAAAGAAGCAAGTTCTGAAAACATTACTTTTTTTATCCGAGTGTTATACTAAGTTAAGTTAAATCATAAGAATCTTTTTTCCAAAATTAAATGTTTGTTAGGGATTTGATAAATTGTTTGTTTCGTCCACACCTTGTACTTCAACGACATTCAAAATGTATCACCCATCATCGGGAACTGTGGACAAAAGCAAATTATAAAATAAAAAAAATCTTATTTGCAGATTACAGATTTATAAAAAGTTGTGAAAATTTCACGAAAAAGTTATTTTCGTTATTTCTCATACATATAATAATAACTACCAAGTCGAGTGGTTAATGTGTATAAAAATAGTCATTAGGCACAATTACTTTAAGTCGATGATTTTTTATACCATTGGTAAAAGTAAAGATAATTGATTAGTACGTTAACAAGGGGGAATCCTCAATAGCCGCGGCACGTGAAATTCTTTTAGTCGGGATTAGAGCAAATTAATCTATGAGTCCTTTTTTCTCCCTTTTTTTTATTAGCTATATTTTTTGTGCCCCAGCAATACCAAGCGTGGAGTGCGTGTATATCCGATTCGATTGTATTACTTATCGGGATCTCTACCAGCCTACCCTCAAACTGAATTATTTTAGCCAGGATTAGAGTAAATTAATCTATGAGACCTTGGGCGTGGTCAGATAATCAATCGAAAGAGTTTGACCTTCTTAGTCCAAAACTGTGATTAGATCTCAAATTGGTCAAGAAATGACGGAGCTATGAGCTAAAACTTTGTACTTGAAAATAAAATAAAAGGGGGAAAAAAAAACTCAGAGCCGTTCTATGAGCAGCTATGCCGCGGCTAAAAATATTAATTAAGTGATACATAATAATTATGTTAATTGTGGGTAAGAGTAAATATAACTAGCTGTTATGTGGAAATTGTATTTATATGATAATGGATTTGGATTTAAATAGAATCTCTTTTAGCTAAACCTCTTTGTTGCTAATTTAGTTTAACAAGCAAGTGCACCCTTGATAAGTTAATGACCAAAAATACAAAAATAATGAAATGCGATTAAATAAAAGAAAGGTCCAAATGAAAGTGGTTAGACTGTTTATTTGTAAAAAAAGAAAATTACTATATTCACTAAAATGAAAACCTTCACAATAACCCGATAGATGTGTTTCCTGTACGCCATTCAGTGACTGATTAAGTAAACTGTGCTGATTTCAAAAAGTAATTTTCTTGTTGAAAACTTAGTTTTCTAAACTGAACAGTCACGAGAGTTTGTCTTCCAAATATCAACTTTCCAAATTGAATAATCATGAGAATTTCTTGTACAAATATTAACTTTCCAAATTAAACAATCACGAGAATTTCTTGTCCAAACATTATCTTTCCAAGCCGAACAACGACGATTCCAAAACTGTTAAGAAATGTGTATCTTCACAATTGCTACGAGTTTCTAGCTAAGATAATCAAGGATAATGCGTATTGATTTTTATTGTTAATATAAATAACCATATAAACAAAATATCTAGCAAAAAAAAGACTGAAACTGTGAAGATATAGTTGACATGATATTATTATAGAGGAAATGTCCAACTTTTGGTATACAGTTTGATAAAAAAAAGGGATTTATAGGAAATGTAAAACAGTTGTCTGAACAAACAATTCCTTACGCATTTAGAATGACCTATAGGCTAAAACCTTTCTTATTTTTAAATGTTTTTTTTTGTAAACAGAAAAAAATTCCTTTTTTTAGAAGAGGAACAAAAACACAATTTTGGCTCAGTGCCTGACCACGAGTAGAGGTACTTTGTATGCATGCTGTGATCTCATCACTTTAGAACGTGAATTTCTGTCTAAATTTGGCTTGCCAGAAACGCCGTCGGTATTTATAACTGAGAAGTGTATACTGTCTCGCCAAGGGGCGTTGTGGCTAGAATTCAGTTTGAAACTATCATATTTCAGCAATTCCTGTAACGAACACACCAGTTGATGCAACAGTGATTTAAATCTTATGTATCCTCAAATATGAGAAACAGTTTTATTTTTGTATTTTGATCTTCCATAGACATTCGATTATTTATACCAAGACCATCAGTTAGAACGCAGCATATATAATTTCGTTACGGCTTCCAACTGCTTTTCAAACGTTCAACTATAGTCGTGACATTACTTCCTGCTTCCGTTAAAGTTGTATTTATGTCCAAAGGACATAAAAAATCGATTATTTTCAAAAGGAAGGAAACCTTGAAATTTCTCAAAACAGTTTAGCGGAATTAAATAATTATGAAAACCACTAAACCTAATGTACGCACGATATAATGGTAGTTTGTCTCATGATTTAGTGAAAAATATTTGTCCGAAACCGGCTTCTCTCGATGTGTTCCTTGTTTCCCTAACTCTCCTGTCACTGTGGTTCACTTTTGTCTCATATCCCATTCGTGTTTATTCTTATCTCACGAGCCGTTTTTTGTTGTTGTTCTTCTTCTCATTTTTTCCTTTTCTCTTCCATATTTGTAAGTGATATAGACAGTGCAGCTCAATCTTGAACATTCATGGACCTTGCTCTAAGTTAATTTAGTTTTGCTTTTCTTCTTTCCTTTTGAGATTTAAATATATAAGCATATCTTTGTTTGTGCTCTAGATTTTCGTGTTAACTTGTTAATAGTATCAACATTTTAAAAATCTTCTTCAGTCTTCCCTCCTTTTTTGTTATCCATTGTTTCCGCTATTCGGTTGGATTTAATTTTAGCAGTCTTCTCTTGCCAAAGTTAACGGTTCTGAGCTTTTCTTATCAATTCCTACTTTACTTTTCTTTCACTGGATTTTGGTACAATTCGTCTCACATTCATTATTGTTTTTTTTTCAATGTTTGCTGACTTTATTGATAGACTGTTGGCCTCCTTACAAGCCATGTCTGTTTCTAAACAAGTCACAAGGCTAAGCCTAGTCTCGTACTTCTTACTATACGTGGAAATTATGCTTCACCTTCATCTCAGATAATTTATATTTGGGGCTACATTTGTTTTTCTATCTGATGTAGCAACGTGATGGTCTATATAGAGTGCTTCTATCTAATACCTCTTTGATTGTATATATAGAGCGCCTATACTTGATGTACCCCGTTGGAGGTCTGCGGATGTTAACTTCAACATACCTACAATGTATTTATGATATCACTGAACCATAACAAGATGCCATCCTTTCTTCTCATAGATTTTACTGTATCACACCTAAAACTATAAGAAATATTCAGGGTTTCTCAAAATCGTTTTATGGATAACACAGGCCTGCGATAAAAGTTGATTTGGTTTTAATAACAAATTTTCCATGATTCAGCTACGCAGATTTCGAAAATATTATTCATTTTTTCCTATCACGTAAGAATTTTTTACAAATCAGGAAGAAAAAAACTCTTACTTAGACCAAATTATTAGACCACAATGAGCATTCTTTATTATTATTATGTTTGTTAACGAAAATACAAACAAACTGAAGAAAAGAGAAGAACATTAGTGTCAAACAAACATGCATCCTCATTTTTTTTGTGAAATCTACGTCTTTTAGTCTCAAACTAAGTGTTGTGGTATTTCTTTCACGTATTGCATTATGACGTTTTGTGAAAAATCTCTACGTGATGGAGAAAAATGGATATCATTTTCGGATTCAGCGTACAGGAAGTACTGTACATCATGTAAAAATTTCAAGACAATGCAGGCCTTTGTAATCAAATGGAATTAACAGAAAAGGTGGGATTAAGAAATAAAGTAATAGTCCGGTTATGGAAAAAAAGAATACCAATTAATTTAAACAAGAACTGTATATTGTGACATACTGAAGTAAATGTTAATCCATAACATGTAATAAAAACACAAAGTATAAACAATCAAGAAACAAAAAAAGTGATTTTCAAACAGGTGTTCGTGCGAAAAAAAAAGATTGTGAGAAATGAAAAAGTTAGTCTGAAAGATAACTAAACTATAGTGAGTTTTCAGTTTAGCTAAGTTAAAACCTCTATGCATGGTATTTTCTGGATAGTGGTAGTTTGTAAAGATGCAAATGAACATAAAAATGACGAAACACCAAAGTGTAGAAAAAAACAAACACCATCAAACATACTTGTCAAAGTAATTTCTTGTTGGTGTTTTCTTAGTCCAAAGTCACACGATAGGCCACTTGCACTCTGTCCACCGAGGGGAATCGAATCTCCGATTTTTGCGTTGTAAATCCGTAGACTTATCGCTGACCCACCAGGGGACGTTAGAAATAATTACTTTTAGGGAATAGAAAGGCGTAGCAAAGAGCAAATTTCTGACAAATATTAGTTCAATTCTCAGTATATCTGCCAAGCGAGCACACGAATACGCACATGCCACCCTTGCCCTCCCTTCATGGGCACTTTTATTTTATAATTTAACAGCAGAGTAAATACTGTAAAAAATCACTATAGTAGAATATTTAGTATCTGTATTTTGGAAAGAAAATTATACAGTACTTAGAGTCGCCTCTAAAATTTAATATTTGTTATAAGCAAATCATTGGTGATGCCGTATGTTTGAAATAGCATGACCGTAATACGAAGATTATAGATAGGATTAGCTTTTTTATGTAAATAACATCTTTTTTATTCCATATCCACTTCTGGCGCTCGGGCATTAAAAGTTGGCATTTTTGGGGCACCCCCAACCTCAGCGAATTCTTTGGCATTGGATTTGTCGATCCCCGCCACAGATTATTTTGTTTGGATCAATCGAAATTAATAACAAAATATCAGAAAAAAATAATATGCATATATATATATAAATTACATTTTTGAGCATTGGGACTATAACCTAATATTATCAAAGTTGAACTACATGAATACAAACTACGGTTTCAGTGACATCGTATGCCATGTCACTTTATTTGTCAGGGAAGTTATATTAAACTCCAGAACATAAATTTCGATCTTCCAGTATTTTTGTGTTCAACCTGACCACTTGTTCTTTGCGCCAAGACATCACTACCTTGCATGTGTATAAAATTCGATATATTTTGAATATAAACCAAACAGTAAAATCTGTAATATTTATGGCAAACTAAAAGCCTCCAATTAAGATAATTCTTTCAGAATTAACTTAAAGGATTATTCTCCCTCGGGCATAAAGATAAAACACCCCTAATATTTCGTTAAACAAAAATAATCGAATATTTTGTTTCCGTTAAGAAAAATGACCATGATATACATTTATTTGTCAGGAGAATTATATCAAACAAAGCATTATAAAAATAACCTCTTAATATGCAGTTTTCTACTACAAAGAAAATAAACCCTTATTATTGTCTGGAGACAGAAAAGTGCGGAAAAACTGAAAGAATGACATCGTAAGACTTGCCATTGAATAGTGATATAGTCTGTTAGAATAAATATTAGAACTTCTTCGAAATACAAAAATGTTGTTTATAATGAAGTTGTATAAAAACTATACTTGCCATACCTTTTCTGTTTCGTTTGTGGTAAAGTGTTTTTAATTATTAGTTTCATACCTTCAGTTGCTCATGAAACATTTAAAAAAAGTTTAATAAGCAATTATAATTCTAATACATTTTTGCCTACGTTAAGTTATTGAATAAATATTGCTTAATATTTCAATATTAATTCATTGAGTCCTTTATCTTGCTGGGAAAATAATTTTAAAGTACAACAAACCTGTTTTGGCTACGAAGTAACTGCTTATAAACCAATTCATTTCAAAGATGTGTTTTAATAAAATTTAAATATTTAAGTGTCGAAATAAATGCTATCAACCTGAATGAAGTACAGTATCAAACAGTGAACTGCATTCTTTGCATTTTGTGCTAACAACGAGTTGTTCTTTTTCTGCAGGATAAAATTCGTCTTCTTCAAGATGATTTAGATGCAGAGCGTGAGCTTAGACAACGGGTAAGTTGAATTTAACAATGTACTCATCTGTCAGTTCTATTTAACAATGTACCGAACTGTTGGTTCTATTTAAATAATTAAAAAGCAGCAAATTTAGTATTTTTAAATAATTCTTTCAGAAAATTAATAACAGTAAATGTTGAATTTCAATTAATTATTAGCTTTATATTAAAACATTGTAAACATTAGGCTTAACATGCTTTTAAATAAGTTTACTGAGACAAAATATAAACAAAGTGATCTAAAATTTGACCGTTTCGTTGTTTACTGGAAAGAAATATAAGAAAAGGAATCTAAACTTTTACTGGTTCACTATTTTTAATGAAATAAAAGATATAAAATCAATCTAAAACTTTACAGATTTATTGGTTTTAATGACATAAAAGATTAAAAAAAAACATGTTAAAAGTTTTATTCAATTTTTAGTTTCACTGGGACAAAACATAAAAATATTTAAAAATAAAATCAACTTTCCGAAACAGGGAATTTGTAGAATTTTAAGTGGTTAACAAATAAGATTAAAACCTGTATTTCGATTAACTTGGACATTTCTAGAAGCTGGCGTTCATTAAATGTGTAAGCTTAGATTTTAGTGGACTATAACGTAAACAATGGCTTAACATTTTAGGTATAACAGAAATTTTCTTTTTGTAAACTACACTGAATCTTGAGGCTTGATGCTTCAATGATGGATCGATCCAGAGAGCGAGCAAACAATTGTCATATGAAATACTTGCGTTAAGTTCACACTAGACACACTAGTGAAACCACCAAAGGGCATATTTCCCTTCGAATCTTTTATTCAATGGGAGAAAATAAAACACAAGATAAAACGGGCTGTTTATAAT